CTGGAATGACTCATTTAATCATCCAAAACGTTATGGAACACATTTATTAACTGGAAAATGTTGCATAGTGTGCCTTTAATGCTGTCAAACAAATGCATCTCTGTAGAAGACCAAAGAGAAGGCTTTAGGTCATGTTACCCTGCCTGTTTAACTCTGAGAAAGTATCCGTTAGCTTTACAGCGGCTGTTGTGGAGAAAGATGGAGATGTTTGATGGCAGGTTCAGCTGCATTTTTGTGTTTCCCTTTAAAGGCGCCTCTGAACGACCCCAGAGCGTGCGCCTCCCTCATGGGCCTCAAGCCGTCTACAACCAAAAGCCATCTGGTCCGAGCCATCCTGGAGTCGGTGGCCTTCAGGTGATTCGTTTTATTCCTTTTTTTTACGTTTGCTTGTTTCACTTTTTTTTGTTTTTACCGCCTCTCTGTTGGTTTTTCTCCCCAGAAACAAGCAGCTGTATGAGACGATGCTGAGAGAAACCCACATTCCCATCTCAAAGATCCGGTGCGTCAGCTCCAGACTCCATATTGAGCTTAGATGGCAGCCGTGGAAGGGGGCGTGGCCTCAGCTAACGCGTTCCAGTTAGATGATGCGTGGCGTGAACGGGCGGATGATAACGCAGCTCTCTGTCCGTCTCCATCTCAGGGTGGATGGAGGCGTTTCCTCCAACGACTTCGTCCTGCAGCTGACGGCGGACCTGTTCGGCAGGAAGGTGGTGAGACCCCAGCACCGGGAGATGTCTTCTCTGGGGGCGGCGTTTGTCGCAGGCCTCACCGTGGGTACGTAGACGCTCCAGGAAGCAGTGAAAACAAGGACTGGGTTATTTACACAGTAAAGGGGAGCAGAAGACCTCGCCTGTTCAGGCAGGCCAACAATTCCCTTTAATGACCCCCTTTCAGAGACATAGACTGGCTTCTTTGTTAGCCTGCAATGCCTGATACCTAACGACCCCCATTCCAAAGGGGGGGACCCATCAAAACTAAAACCAGGCTTTGTTGGGCTGCTGATAAAACCTGGAACTAAACGATATTTCTGACATTTTGAATTGAAAAATCTTCCTGGAGGGAAGAGAAACGTCTTCAAACTCGGAAACAAAGTCCAGTGGATTGATTTTAACTTTTTTATAAGCACATGAAGAACTACTGAAATCATTTTCAGATTAAAAATAAATAGATTCATTAATTCCGCAGGGGAAAAGAAATTACTTTAAGGTTAGGATTAGGATTCACTCAGTGATAACAACCTGCTGAGCCTACTGGCACAATCTGAAGCCGTTCTATGGGACGGATAACCGCTAATAACGACCATTTATTGGGACGATAACATCTGAAGCGCAGCTGCAAACAACCACTTAGTATTTACTGTGTAAAATAAGACAGAATCAACATGAGGAGGAACCCATGAGATGATGAACAGGTTCTATCTGTTTTAATATGTAGTAGTTTAAATATTTATTCCTGATATCTGAAATAATACTTTTTTTCTCGTCAAAATGACCATTTCATTATTCCCATTGTTACTGAAGAAATGTTTTTCAGATATCATAATTACATATTCAATCAATCTGATAAAAGCCAGAACAGCCTTTTAAAATGTGTAAAAATTCTATAAAAGTTTTTTTTTTTTTTCTGAAATTCAGTTTCTGCAAAAAAAAAATGTAATTTACAAAATCTATTATTACAGTTAAGTGTAGGAGTGTGATTTTTATCAGTAAGAATCTTATTTAATTTATCTACAAATGGAACAACAGAGAGGAGAGTGCTCTTAATTAAATGTAAAAACGGCCTGCCATAGCCCACTTCATATAAACCGATGCATTTACTCGAGCAGCAATCTTCTCCATCTTTCTCCCCTTTGTAGCTGTAGCGATGTTTCTCTTTCCTTTAAACACATTCTCCTTTTTTTATATTTCTGCATTAAAATCTTTAGTTCCAGTGGGGTGAAATGGGCACTTCCTGTTGCCTGTTGTCATGGTGACTCGTCGAATTGATGCTCCACTGACGATGGCGCTTAACTTGTAGTTGATTGAACCAATTCATACCAAAATTTCAGATTTCCGATTTCCGATCCAGGCAGACGAGCTCCGAGCCAGCTCCCATGTCAGAGGATGAAGAGAGCACATCCAGTTAGTCACAGTCAGAGAAACAGGACTACACTGGAAAACAGGCCAGGCTCCAACATCTAGAAACAAAGGTGTTGATGGCATAAAGGGGTCTGACACAAACATGCTGCCGCATATCAGTGTCTGCTGTCAGTAAAATGACAGATACCAGATCTTTTCTTACAAATTATCTTCTACAAACGGAAATCATTCAAACAGGAAGTTAAAAAACACTCAGACACTTTAAAGATGCTCTTTTCTTTCTCTAAATATATTGCAACTCATGACAGGTTTTCCTTTGAAAGCTTGTGATCAAACGTCCTATTTTTGTTATGCTGACTAGGGCTGAAAAAGCAGAAAAAAAGCTTTTTCTGCCTGTTTTTTCAGGCTTATTTACTACATTATATAATGAGATTATTAGAGATTAGTCTGTGTCTAATTTTAGAATTTTGGGTCGTCTCTGCAGGGTTCTGGGCGACCCGAGAAGAGCTGAAGAAGCTGCAGAGCGCTGATAAGGTGTTCCTGCCTAAAGGCGTCTCTAAAGGCGGCGGCGCCGGACCGGATCAGGAATACATCCCCGTCCTCCAGAGCTGGGAGAGAGCCCTGAGGCGCTCCATGAACTGGTACAAGCCCTGACGGGATACAGGTGCAGGAGGTCCAGGTGCAGCGTGAACGGAGTCAAACGCAGAGCCGACCCCCCGCTGAAGTGTGCGAGTCGTGTTCCGTGTGGGCGACGCCGTACTGAGAGTTTCTGGTGAGGAGGACCTGTTGGAGGCGTAAAATGGATCCAAAGTCGCCACAGATCCAGTTTTCTTGGTTTGGATCTATGGAGCGAATTTTGTTCCATTATTGTTGCATTATATAGCTAGGCACCTGTTTTACAAATGGAAATATGGAAAAAAATGCAATCCAGAAATTCAACTTTGAAACATCTTTGGAGAAAAAAATCAATTCAGTTTATTTCTAAAGAGCCAATTCACATCATATCATCTCAAGGCACTTTACAGTTCACCAGATCATCCAAGTTTTCTAAGGAAAACCAGTTGATTGCATCAATTCATTGACATGCTTGTAGTGACAGTGGAGAGGAAAAACTCCCTTTGAACAGGAAGGAACCTCCAGCAGAACCAGTCTCAGTGTGAGCGGCCATCTGCTGAGGCCCACTGGGGTTCAAGGAGACATAAATACATTATGAGAGTAAATTAGAGTCCAGAGGAAAGCACTGGAGTAGAGAGGTGATCTGTAAGGCACAGTTTTAAAATAATGCAATTTAAAAATAAATAAATCTGAAAAAAATTAAATTTTTTATAAATGTAAATAATGCTAATAAGATTAAATATATTCATCAAAACCAAAGTGCTGTAAGCTCAGAACCAGGTGGCGGAGGATTCTCTGTTTAGTCGGGATTTTCCCTGGAGGAGCTGAATTTTAAAGGCAGGGACTTTATAATTATTAATTTTTACAATTTTTTTTAGTGTGACCTGACACAATTTAAAAAGAATGCAATGTGTAAAATTCAATCTAAGAACGGACATTTGAAAAAAAAAAAAAAATCTGAAAAAAATAGAAATAATGTAGATTAGAAAAGAGGAAATCAAATTTAATGTGAGAAAACCGCAAAGTTCCTTCTCCATACTTGTTTGTTTAAAAGGTTTTTCAAAGTTTCATTTCTGGATTGAATTTTTCTTTTTTTTTCATCTATAAAATGTGTTTGTGATCTCTGCTTGCAGTAATAACGGACCAACATTCACTCCATAGCTTAAAGGTGTCCATCTGTATCTGAAGCAGCCTTTATTTAGTTTACCTGTGGCTCACCGTCCGTCAGCAGGACTGATTTTCTACCGGATGCTTTCTGCTCATCGCTGCCTTTTACTCCAGAGTGAGCTGCCTTCATTTTAATCCGACTTACGTCTGGATTTTCCTTTTTCGGTCCATTTTATTCACTTGGTGCTAAAGATTTATCAGCTTTTAATTAAGTGCTCCATAGCAACAACCAAGTGCCAAATATGGATCCTGGGCAGAGGCGTCAAGTAATAAAGTACAAATACTTTATTAACTTTTTATTTCAACTCCTTACATTTAAAAAATAGACTCGTTAGTTTCCTTTAAGCTCATTTTCATTATGGCCTGTTGGAAAATAAAAAGTCTGATCAGCAGGAATAATCAACGGATCATTATTTATACCTAAAACTAATACGCTGATTTAATGAATTTAGCGCTAATCAGGAACAAAATAAAAACAATAATTTTTGCGACGGTCACTGAGTCTGGGAGCGGCCATTTTTATAGTAGCCCCTCCCTCCTGCCATCTTCCAGCAGTGACGTCACGGTGCGGTAAGCCTAGCGCCATTCTCCCCGCTTTCCAAGCTAAATCAATGGGAAC